TTTTAAGAAATCTGCTTGATTAAAACTAATTACCCTATGGACTTTCTTTAGTTTTAATCCATGCTCTAAATAAAACTTCAATGCTGATATATGTAATACATACTTTTTCTTATCCATAACATTTAATATTAGTTTATTTGTTTTTTCATCAGATGCATCTTTTCCATAATATTTTTTATGTATTTCTTTTTGAACTGGTGAAAGCATATTCTCACTAACACTCATAATTTCTGGTGCTAATGGATAATCTCTATGTAAATCATGTAATTCTTTTGGATATTCTAAATCAACTTCTAAAATATAGCCTTTGTCATCATCATCGCTATAACTTAATACTTTCTTCTCATCCATCCTTGAAAAATACCAATTGAAATTATCAAACGGTAGTTTTTTACTCATAGCCAGACCATACAAGTTATTAGCATCTAAATAACTTATATAACTTGATGGTTTTGACAAGTCATATTGTTCATTCATGTATTTATTATTTGCTTCTACTTTTTTATGAGCACATTGAGTCATCCCGCCACGAAGACCTTTTTCAATCATTTCATACATATCTTTATTATGTATTTGTTGAAGTCTAACACCAGTCAGAGATAAAAAGGCAGACCAAGAATAATTAGGTAATGTTATGTAATGTGCAGGGTCTAATCCATAAAAATTTAAACACATATCCCTAAAGTTTTCAAACACATCACTAAGCAAATAAGCATCTGTCATCAAATATAAATCATGGTATTCACCTAGGTTTTTGATATTGAAATTATCCCATATTACTTTTGCCCTTGTGTGTTGTGTATCTGTTATACCTTCTTCATATAATTTACTGTAAAAGTCTTCTATATTCGGTAATTGCGATTCATTGAATTTATCAAATGAATTCATGTAGTCGTAAGGATAAACTCCTTTTTCAGTTAATAAGTCTAAATCGGTTTTATTTCTAATATATGGATTTGCTGATGAAAATCGGAAATTATCCTTCCAGTCATTCCGCTTTTTATATATAGGTTTATCATGTTCATCTTTACCTACTATGTCATATTTATTTAACTTAACTAATTTATCCAAAGATGCTGAGAGAAAAGCCATGCTATCTTTAAACTGTAATGAACCAAATGAAAATGTAATAAACTTTTCGCTATTTTGTGCTATTACATCTATTCTCTTATTTTCGTTCAATTCCTTATTTATTTCATTTGCTTTGCCTATTATTAAGTGAGAGTCATAGTTTTTTAAATTATGAAAAAATACTGGTATCTTGAAATATCTAAATGAATAATCCAAATTACATTTTTCGTGAGCACAACCTCTATACTCACCAGTAAAATGACAGTGGTCACGAACCTTTCTTCCTTTGGAAGAAAGGGTAGTCTCGTGAGCCTCTGGCGAGGCGTCTCTGACTTTTGTATCTTCTGGTTTAAAATTCTTATTACATATTGAACATACAGTAGCTTTTCTAAATTCTGCTTCTTGTTCATCTGTAATATCCATTGGTTTATTAACATTCATTTTATCAAAAATATCTTTTTTAATTTCTCTTAATTTATTTACAAAGTGGTCTAAACAATCCTCTCCACGGTATAAAAAAGGTTGACTTGTATTATCAATAGAATTTACAACATTCAACATATAACCGCATGGTTTATGTTCCTGATACGTGCCCTTGATGCCATTATTTGAATTTACAGTTATACACTCAAAATCTCCATAAACAACAAATGGACATTTTAATTTTGTATTGTATTTTTCAAATTCAATATAACTACCTTCTTTTGGTAATTTAAACTGTTGTCCATGTGTTGCCATACAACCAGTTTCATAATGTTTTGTTAATAAATCCTTTCTAGTAAAGGCATGAGAACAATAATGACAATAATGTTTTGGTTGGTCATTTTTGTTTGTTTGCCAGTTCATTAAACGACTTAGACTTTTAATAACTACATAATGATTATTATTATTGATTTCAATTTTCAAAAGGTTTATTTGATGTTTAGCATCTCTTGTTTTAGTTCTGTAATCAATTATAATTTTCTTTTCATTCAAAGTATCATCAATTTCATAAACATTGATTGAAACTAACTTACTATTATTTTCTTCAAACCTTTCAATATCTTTATTACCAGTTGGAAATTTAACACCTTCCCAGTTTAAGATATTGTCGTTTAATTTGTTGTAATGGAACATTTCTTGGGAATTTGATTTATTAATTATATCAAACACTACACTTTGAACACTATATTTAAAACATTTGTTATCTTTGTTTTTGATATTAATACATGCCTTTTTTAGTTTAATCCATTCTGGTAAATCTATATAACTACCCGCCCTAGTTGGGTCATATTTGTCATAATGGATTGTTATTGATAATATCTTTATAAATTTTAAATTAGATGCTGAACCTTCTAACTTTTCTATGTTCAATAAAATCTCTTTGATTGATTTTTCAATTGCTTCATCCAAATCGGTTTCATTATATATGTTTGACCTTGTAGCAGGTAAATTATAAAGTATCTCTGTATGTTTTATTACTCCATCATCATCATAATAATGATAAAATAAACCTTCTGCCCTTATATTCAGTTTCATTGCTCTATTAGTTTTCAAAAAGGTCAAAAGTCTATCTTTTTGGTGGTGTATCATTGATAGTGCCTTTTCACCTTGAAAATGTTTATTTACTAGTTTTATAGAATTAGCATAACTTTTGAAAGCTGATTGTTGGTCTGTTACTTGGAATTTATTTTTGATTGCATATTTTGTCATTGCATTTTTCATTCTTTGTTTTAGGTATGTTGAGCGCAATGTTTTTGTTGCATAACTATTATACTCATTAGTTCTTGCTTCTGATTTTAATTTCTTGTTCAAAACATTTGAGATGGGTTTTTCTTTGTTGTATCTAAATTGTCTACCATCTATAATTATTGATTTTAATTCCTTGTTTCCTCTTTTTGGAATTTCCGCTTTATCATTATTCAACAGATAATCTATAACATGTTTCATAATACTATACTATATAAATTTAATGTGTTTATTTCTTTAAGTGACTTTTTAGAAAATATACTTAAAGATTTAAAACCTTAATATAATAAGAGGAAAATGAACGGTGATAAAATCAATAATTATATCAATAAAAAATGCTATGATTGTTGTCACTTCAAAAAAGAAAATATGGAATTGTATAAATTAAATTTACCTAATGAAATAGTGAATAATATTATTAATTATTCAATGGATGAAGAAGATTTATGTAAAATTTGTAGAAATTGGAGATATTATCAAGAATTAATCAGATGTCTGTTGGGAATAAAAAGAATTCGACATAGAAATGTAGAAGATGATATTTTAATATTTCTAACTGTAAATAAAATACCACCTTATGATTATGTTAAACAGTTTCTTAAAATTAGTAAGAAAAAATATGAAATGATGGATGATATATTATGGTTGTTGTGTTATAGTCAAGATAAAGGAGAAGATGTTAAAGAAAATATCAAATTATTTATTGAAAGTAAAAAGTTTAATATTCAAAATACATTGAGAGATATTAATATTATTTTTAAAATGATGTATGAAAGAAGAAAGATTTGTCAATTAAATTATTATCCTGTACTGAAATTATAATCATACTATAATAATAACATGTAAAATTCTATATGTTATAATTATACTGTACTTATAGTTTGTAAAGATTGAAATATTTTATTTTTTCTTGATTTGGCTGACTCTTTCAAAGTGCGTTGTTTGAACTTGGTATGCTCTTTTGATTTTTTCGTGCTTTGGCTGTTTGTATTTTATTTTGTTTGATACTCTTCTGATATTTTTTGATGGTATGTTGCTTTGTTTTTGATTTTGTGTGTTTTTGAGATTGGGTTCTTTGATGGTTTTTATTTTTGCTGTTTTGTTGGTATGCTTGTTTGAATTATTTAATGTTTTATGCTTTGATTAAATATTTTGTTGGGGGTTGTTCTGGTTTTTGAGTTGCTTGGTGGTTCTTATCTTGTTTTCTGTGAATTTTGCTGATTTTGTTGTATGCTGTTTGATTATTTGGGTTTGATGTTAGAAGTGCCATTTTATGTATTTTTCCCCCCCCCCCCCCCCCGGCCAAAAGAAAGAACAAACAAAGGAAGGTTCCCGCTCTGTTGTTTGCTTCTCCTTTTTCCTGGTTCTTTGCTTGCTTCTTGGCTTCCTTGCTCTTCCCTTGCTTGCTCCTCATCTATTTGGACTGAGGGAAGCAAAGGGTTGAGGGGAGGGACTTTCGATTGCGAGGCCTCCTTGCCGGGTTTGTAAGATTGCTATGCTAGCCAGCTGTTGACGCTGTCTGCATACGTGACCGACACATTGCCCAAGGACAGGAAACAGGGAACCTCATAATTCGTCCCGGACAAATTCATCAGGGATGCTCAACATTTTCTTTGGTCACGGAGCCTTACAATACGTGCCCGACGCATTTCCGAGGGATATCCAAGACATTTGTTGTTGGTCACGAATCTTCGTTCGCCCACCACCAAAGCAAACAAGCCAGCAACCAAACACGAGCCGGTCGGGCGGACAAATATGTCGGAATTCCTCACGTCGCGCTAGCGCTTCCGGGACTTCTGTCCATTGTTTTTCGACTCACCCCGGGAGAACACGAGCTTATCCATGAAGCGATGAAGGCTCTTGGGTTGCCAGCTGCTTCGACGGGGCACCCCATGGGATCGGCTGGGACTTTCGGACAGGGGATGTTTTTGGACCCCGGTTTCTTGGACCCCGGAAGAACAACAGGTAGAGAGTCAAGAAGCAGGTTGCGGGGACCCGTTGCGAAAACAGGATCCCTTCCCAAAAATCGGAGAATGAGATCGGTGTTGGGTGACGTCTCCTTTTCGGATGGCACTTGGTTGCCAATCCGTCTGCCGACATTTGGGGCTCCGAGACTAAGCTCGGGAATGTTGGGGGGGTTTCTGCTCGAAATGTTTCGGCCTGAGCAACCCTTCGCGGCCTTAGCATTGCGGAGCCGCGAGGCATCTTTGCAGAAGTCGAGAGCTGTCAGTCCAGCGACAGGCGGATCGCCGGATCGCCGGATCGGATCGGATCTGTTTGGCTTGGATGTTCAGGGGGGGTGTCCTTGGCAAGGCAATCACTGAGGGGAGCGCCCCCCTTGAAGATACACAGGGGTTGATTCATAGGTTAACATTAGCAAGTCATTTGTGGTCACAACTGGGACAAGCGGGGTGGTTATAGTCTGTGGCTTGAACATGCAAGAGTGCTTTTTTTGGCGCGCAGGGACAAATGGGAGTTGTTTTTCCCGAAGGGACGGCGAACAAAGACTTTGCCCAACATCACAGGGCTTTGACTTACATCCATTTGCTTAAGAGCATTTTATATTTTCCCTTGCTGGTTTTAAAGGGAATCTATCACTACTGGACATTTCTATTTCTTCCAGGGGGCAAAAACGCAAATGGAAGCTTAAGGCGAGCCACTCCTTCCACTCGGCTGCGCACGCTGGCAGAGTTGAGAAAGCTTCAGGCGGCGCGAGCAACCTGTGACCGCTTCGCTCTTTTGGGTGTTCCAACACACTTTGTTCCGCGTCTCAGCCCTCATCCCATCAACACTGGACGTGGAGGGCGGCGTCAAGCTGTTTTTTCCAATCTGAGGCGGAGGGAAGATTTTGGAGTCGTAGCACTCGCCAGGAAGTTGGAAGAGGGCCTGCGGCGCATGGACAGCCGATTGGAGCGCCTGTCTTCGCTGCAGTCGCAATGCTCAGAAGGCTGGATCGAGAGTTGGAGCTGTTGAGGACATGGTCGCTTTGTCACCAGCCACGCATTCCCAGCTGCTCACATGTTTTTTTCTTCTCCAGATTGGTGGTGTTCCGGATTCTGCTTCCGCTGTTTGTTGGAACACCTCCAGCGCGGTTTTAGTGGAGGCACCAATCTAGACCCCATGTGGGGTGGCCTTTCCCATACCTGGTGTTGACTTTGCTTCAGGATCTGCCGTGGTGGAGGGGCTTTGTAGAGTCCCGAGCCGGGCAGAGTGATCAACTTTTATTGGCCGCTGAGACTACTGGTACTCCCTGGCTTAGCGGAGGTATCTTCCAGGCAAGGGGGAGTTCGTTACAGACATCTTGTAGCCAAAGGCGCCCCCAAGCACACTCTGGGTTCGCAGTAGCGGATTTCAACTAGTCTTGAGCTAGGATTCCCTTTCAATGAAACTACGAGGGCATTCCCTCATTCCCCTACAACTAGCAAGCAATAGACCTAAAGTCAATGGGTTTACTATAACCCCATCCTCCATGTCCATGGGTTGGCAGTGTGTTCACTCACTTGGGGCCCAAACATCGCAGCCCCAAACCAATCCCAAAACATCTCTGGAAGACAAACAAATCGACCAACAAAACGAACATCCCGGATCCTCCATGCGTTTTGTTCTCCATTGTTTTGCCCTGAAAAGGGTTGGACGCGTTTTTTTCTTGTGAGCGGCCTCCATCACGCCCCCCCCCTCCCCGCCTCGAGGCCTGGTGGAGGCCAAGGCGGCGGCTCTGAGCAGCGCGGAGCGCAGCAGCCGCCAGGCGGCGGAGCTGGAGACGCGCACCGCGGAGCTTAAGGAGCCGATGCCGATTCGCCCGATTATTCTGCTCGCCGATTCGCCGAGGAAGTTCTGTCTGGTGAGCTTTAACGAAACAGAATCATTTTGTTTTGCTTTGGCTGTTTATATGTTTTCCTTTGCTTTCGACGTGGTGGGACTCATTATGTGCGCTCGTCATGTTGTTTTGCTTGGGCGTTTTGTATCGAATCACCCTTGTGCTCACCTCTATATAAATGTGTTACATACCAGCTAAGCTTTACTTGGCGCTTTGGATGGGTGGTTTGGTGATCTGAATGTCGTCGCCATGTGGGTCGCATTTCGGGCTGCCTTCATTGGTGGCCCTTTTTGGTTTGAGCCATTTGAGTCAAGTCCCTCGACCATGCTTGTTTCCACCAACCGTTTGTTTGTATTTTTCGGGGAATGGGCTCGGTTGTCAGGTCGAACTCAAGGTTGGGGGTCCCCCAATCTTCGTGCTATGTATTGGTTTTTGGTCGATGGCATTCGTAGAGTGAGTCGGGCACTTTGGGGCCTTCCAGGATTAGAGGGGGTTTGTAGGGGACCTCAAAACGGAATGCTGTCATGATCAAAAGGTCATGATGCATGTGAATTATTTAGTTACACTTCTCAAAGTTGTTTGGCTTCCCTCCGTTGACTTTCCCATCCAAACCATCTAAAGGGGATCAAGTTCCATTTTCAGACAGACCTCTTCGAGTCTCTCTCTTTTTGTTGAGCTTCGGTGCATTTTACTTGGATGTTAGGCTAACTTTTTGCCACCTAATGGGTTTTCCATTCAACCACTAAAAGTTAAACTTTTTTAGCAGGGCTTCGCAGAAAGCAACCGAGTTTTGAGGGTGTTGTTTTGGGAGGGTATTTTAAACCTCCACCTTGGGACTCCAGTTGGGCTCTGGGGCCGGGGCTCTGCCGGGGGTCTGCCGCTTGCACCAGGACCAGCTGAAAAGTCTCCGGGAGGAGCTCTCGGGGATCGGCACCAAGGACAGCTTGAGCCGCTGGATCCTTCCGCCAGACCTGTCCGCTGCCCTGTTTGTTTTTTTTGCCTGTTTTTGGAGTCCCCTTGGTTACCTTCCCCAGAAGTAGCTCCTCTTTTTTTTTTTGCCTTTTTTGGCGTTTGCTTGGTTTTCTTGAATCTGGTGCCAATCAATCCTTCCCCAGAATTAGCTCCCCTTTCTGATGTGTTTTGCCTGTTTTTGTGGGTTTTTTTCCCGCTCACCAGGCAAAACATACAGGTTTTCGTGGCTGGGGTCCGAATTCCAGCCAAGAATCTAGTGCCAATCGATCTGTAGCAGTGTGGGTGGGCCCTCCTCCAACAGTAGACCACTATGGGTGGAGGCGAAATCCGCCACGAAATGAAACCATGGATGAAAGCATCGTTTTTGTTGGTATTTAGAGGGGAATCATCATATATTTCGTCCATCTACAGTATCAATGGCAATACTTTTGTCAGTGGGTGACTTTCCCATTCTTTTCATGCATCCTTTGCAGAAAACCGCTGAGCATCAGAGACTCATGTTTGGATAGCACGACGGTTGAATCGAGAAGCCCTAGAATCAAGCGTACTGATTCCTTGCTGTTTCCCTGGTTTGGTTCTCCTTATGACCCTTGTGTACCCCATAGGTTGGCGACCCTAGTTTAAGGAGCTCCCTCCACGTTTAATTTAACAGAACCTCACTGACATGTCCTGAAAATATGTACATATCTAGATATGGTTGGGGATGTCAGATTCCCACAGAAAGCACCTAGCAAACCCACGGGTTGCTCCGGTCGTTGGAATATGACCAAAACCCACGACGGGTTTGACTTGCAAAAGGAAATCCACTGTCAAGGGTGCGCGCAAGGGCAAGGCGAGTGTTCAGGGCTGATTTCAAACCATTGGTTGAAAGCTTTGAGGCTCCACTTTTTGCGAGTCAGTTTTACCAACCTACCCTCAACGGGATCATAAATAAAAATAAACGTGTTCTACCAAAATCCTACCACGGGATCATAAATCAACGTGTTCCACAAAAAGGTGCTGCAGCTTCGGGTCATCCCACGGACCAACGTTGAATGGGTCACTGGTTAGGAGGCCAAGACCGCGGAGTCCGCGTGCCAGTTGGCGCGGAAGCAGGAGCTCCATGCGGAGGCCGAGCGAGCGCCCGGGTCTTTTTGTTTGATCTAGGTCCGCCAGTAGTGCCCTTTTACCAACTTTTTTGGGGGAGGGTTCCCCTACTAAAATAGACTACAGAAAAAAGGGTACCCTTATGTGCTATGGGTGCCGTCTCCCGCTCCCCAGCTGGGCAGCTCCCACTCTCTTTACTCAGTTTTGCTTTGACGCTACCCTTGGCTTTCCTGGCGAAGGGCCTCTCACATTTCATTCGCACAATGTCGGTTCTTTCTTGGCGCACCCGGATTTGCTTGACTGTTCTGCCGATGTTCTTCTGCTGCAGGAGGCCCGCCTTTCGGCGGACAACATTCGCACCGCCCGTTATCGGGCCCATGAGGCCAACCGCCAGCTTACCCCTGGTCCCCTCCTGCCCATCACGGCGGACGTCAATGGTGTCCGCAGAGTTGAGTGGTGGGGCCTCGCCGTCCTTTCTCAGGCGTGCGTTGTCTACGACTTCGATGTCTCGAAGGATGTTACTGGCCACCTTGGCTCCTTGCTGGCTACTGGGCGGGTTCAGGCATCGTGGGCTGTCTTTGGGAGGCTCCGCTTTCTCCTCATCAACTTCTATGGTGTGTCTGGGGCCTCCTCTGATGAGCCCACCCACCAGCACAATGATGAGCTCCTCACCAGGATACTGGACTTCGCTGCCCAATTCGTCCAGGACTTTCCTGTTGTTTTCGCCGGCGACTTCCAAGCGGACCCTCTGTCCTATGCTTCGCTTGCGGACGCTTGCAGCACGGGGGCTTGGGTCGACCCACTAGCCCCTCTGGACTGTGACGGCACCCGTGCCCCTACCTTCTGCCGCGATAAGCACTGGACCCCTGAGGTCCCTACTACCGCTATTGACACGGTCTTTCTCAGTGAGCATGCGCTCCATCTCTTGGAGCAGGCCTGCGTTACTCCGCTCTGTGGCTACCAGCACGCCTCAGTCTCGCTTACTTTCTCTGCTCCCACTGAGACCCCTCGTGCTGTTGCCTTTGCGTCCTTTGCCCCTCTGGACTTGACCGCCCTGGCTTCTCCTGCCCAGATAACTCAATGCGCGGAGGATCCGTGGCAGCAAAGCTACAGTCATGATCTCACTGAGGCTAGCAGCTCGGAGCAGGCCTGGGCCCTCTTCTCTGACTTTGCACTACGTGTGTTGGTCGACTCTGGGGCCAAGTGGGGCAGGGGGATCCGCACTCGTGGAACCCTGCCCCCTATCCGGCCCAAGCGCTCTCCCGAGGCGGCCCTGCCCCCTTCGCACCCCATCACTCTTCACACACGTCTCCTGTCTCTTGCACGGGAGCTCTTTTACCGCCTGGCTCGTCTGCCGGTCACGACTGTGCCTGATGCGGCCGTCACGTGTGCCACCATCCGGCGGTTCCGCCGGCTTGCGCGCGACCTTCGATTTCCCCTGAACTCTGAGGATCTCACACCTGGCGGCTCTGCCCATCTCTGTGAGAGAATTGAGTGCCGCCTCCAGGAAGTCACTCGTCAAAGGCAACGCGCCTCCTACCGCCGGTGGAAGGAGCGCCTCCGTCACTCCGCCCTGCATACTGGGAAGGCTGTGTTTCAACACCTCGCCAGGGCGGCAACCACGTCCTCCCCCAATCTCCTTGCCGGGCAGGATGGCCTGCCTGCCTACCATCCTGCGGATGCACTTGAGCATGCCGCCCAGCAGTGGAACACTGTCTTTGCTGTCCACGCTGATGGCATTCCGGTCGAGCCGCTCATGAGGCCTATTCAACACCTGCTCGAGCAACGGGCTACGCCCCTTGACCTCCCGGCTGTCACGCCGGAGGATCTGGCTCGCTCCATCTGTGCTCGGAGTGTGGACTCCTCTGCTGGCCTTGATGGTTGGTCCGCACGGGAGCTCCAGGCTCTCCCGCTTCGGGTGCTGCAGGTCCTTGCCACACTCTTCAACAAGGTTGAGGCGGGTTTGTGGGCTATGCCCCGTATCTTTGGCACGGCCAGACTGGCGGTGCTTGACAAAGGAGCGGGCCCCAGCCCCCTATCCAAACGCCTCATCGCTGTCCTTCCCATCTCTTACCTTGCATGGTCCTCGGCTAGGTTCCGTGCTTCCTCTGCGTGGCAACGCCTTGTACTCCCCGCTGAAGTCTGTGGCGGAGTCAGTGGCCGCCGGGTGGATGACATCACCCATCACCTTGCTCTTGATCTTCATGAGGCCAAGGCGACCAATGAGGTCTTTGCAGGCATCCAGATCGACCGCTCCAAGTGCTTCGACCGCCTGCTCCCCAGCCACACTGTTGCTCTCCTTGTGGCCTTGGGCTTCCCAGCCTCTGTGGCCAATGCGTGGCGCTCCAATTACTGCGACTTCAGGCGCTATCTCTCCTGGCGGGGAGCCATCCACCCTACTCCCTTGGCCAACTGCAATGGCATCGCTCAGGGCTGCTCTCTCTCGGTCCTGGCAGCGAATGTCTTGATGGCGGCTTGGGCCCTTCTTATCAGGCACTTCCCGGGGGTTGAACCGGCTACATGTCTGTCTCCTCGCCTGATGCCATTCCCTCCCTGGTGGAGGCGGTCAGGGCTACGTCCCTATTTGACGGCCTCTCGGCAAGTCTGGATGGTGGACTACTCATGAGTCACCTGCCTCGCAGCTCCAGGCTGCCCTCCCCGGTGCACCACGCCTGCGCTCTCTGCGGCCACTCGGCGTGTGCATCAACTTGGACTTGCGCGGCACTAAGGATGCCCGGGCTCCTGCAGTTGCTCGTTTCCGGGCTGCCCTCAGGGCCATCCGGGTGTTCCCTCTCCCCCTTTGCCAAAGCCACCTTTGTTGCTCGCAAGGCCATGCCCATGCTTACCTACTCGGCGGAACTCAATTTCGTCCCCCGTGGGCTCCTGTCCTCCTTGGCCACTGAGGTCGCGGGGGTCCTGTGGGACGGTCGGCCTGGCTGGCGTTCCCGTGAGTTGCTCCTTGCGGTCGTCCATCAGGGTCATCTGGTACACCCTGAGTACGCCATGGCGTACCGCGCCGTACTCAATGTGGCCTCCCACCTCCAGCGCTCGGAGAAGTTCGCCATCCAGTGGCGCATCGCCTTACTAATCCCAGGATTATGCCTTCCACGCTCGTTTCCAACGTGATCGCCGCGGTCACTCTGTGTGGCTTGCGCTTTCGGGCTCCTGCAGATGTCGCTCTCGCTTCGGGACCATGGATGTCCCTCTTCAGTGTCTCCCTTCGCTCCCTGGCAAGGCTTCTGCAGTGGACCATTGCGCAGCATGCTTACCAGCGTGCCTGCCGTGGCAAGCGTGCAGATATCGTCTCGGGGCCGTCCGGCCTCGTTGGAGCTCCTTTGTCCGTGCTTTCCCTTCCAACCGTGCGGTGGCCCCTGCTGTGGTTGTCGGCTCTGCAGCCACGGCTGACCGGCTTTATGCCTCCAACCTGGCTGCTTCTCCTGGCTGTCGCTTCTGTGATGGTGCTGATGAGACGCTGGCACACCTTGTGCAGTGCGGTGCTCTCCACGCTCGCATCGGTCCACCACCTGCCCAGCGTGAGGACCAGGGCCCTTCCTTCTACACTCATGCCCTGGCTGAAATCCCTGCGGACCTTGCCCATGCCACCCTCCGGGCCGTGCCCTGGCCTGATACCACCCCGCTACCCAGGTACGGTGGTGGGGATGTCCACCTGTGGACTGATGGCAGTGTCTACTTGCCCCACCACTTGCTCTTCGCTGCTGCCGGCTTTGCTGTTGTGAGTGCCTCTGCTGGTGTGTGCGCTTCTGGTCCCCGGAACGGGCCCCCTGGCGGACAACTACCGTGCTGAGGTCTACGCTATCCTGCATGCCGCCCAGCTTGCTCGTGGTCGGCTCACTGTTCACACCGACTCCCAAGCTGCCGTCAGCGCCTGGCATGGTTTTCACTTGAGGGGGTGTGTCCCTCCCAATGCTGCAGCGGCTGACCTCTGGTTATCCCTCTGGGATTTGGTTAGTCTGCGTGCCGCCTCCGGGTTTACTCTGACCCTCCACTGGATCCGGGGACACCTGCCTCTCAACCAGTGCCCTGGCTCGGTTGAGCTCTTGCATGCGCGTTGTAATCATGCGGCTGACCATGCGGCCAAGCGCGCTGCGCGTGCTTCCCTTGCATGCCTGTCTGTCGCATGTCTGCCCTGTTTTTCTCTGCCTACAGGCGCCATCGCTGGCTCCAGCAGCTCTTCCTTGCCTTGGCGGCCACCCCTGTTCCTCCTCCGCCCCCGGAGCCCCCTGATCCCGAGGTGCCCCCCCCTGAGGCCCCCGTTGCCCTAGGGTTAGGTGTAGAGACTGAGCCTTGCCATGTGCTGCAAGTTGAGAAGCTCCTCGCCAAGCCGCGGGACTGGACTCATGGTTCGCTGCAGTGGTGGGCCTGGAACAAGGCCTTGAGCTCCGCTATGTGGACAGTTCGCGGTAGCCTGGTTTGGAGGCTGCACTGCTCTTTTGGCGGCGCAGCCCTGGCATTGTCAGGTATGCTGGCGGTGCGGCCACTGCCCGTGGCCTCTTGGTGCACTTCAAGGCTGTGAGGAAGTGCATCGTCCGGCGCAACCCGGATGCCTTCCCCCGCGGTTGGGAGCCGCGGCTTGGCCGCTATGCTGGGGTCACCTGGCCGCGTGGAGCTTGGCCTGACGTCTACCTTCAGCGCACCGATGCGGAGCACAAGTGGCTTCAGCGGGTCCTACTCCGGGCCTCCCGCCTTGGCAGAGTACCCAGAGACTGGGAATTCTCGCTGGGCGCTGTTGCGTGATGGGGGCCTGCAGCCCTGGGCTTCGCGTGCTGGGGCTTCCTCGTGACCCTGGCCTACAGTCAGCTACTTCCGGAACTTTGTGCACGCCCCGCTCCCCAGGCACCCCTTCTGGGGGTGGCTGGTGGGCCGGGCATCGACTTTGAGATGTGCCCACCAGTGGACAGGGGGTCCCACCCCCTTTCCACTGGTGGTTGGCCTGCTCACACCCCCAGTTGAGTCTCTCCTGGGGGTCTGTGTGCGGGGCTCCTGCCCCACTTTTCACCGGTAGTAGGGCGGCATGCCCTACGACCCACGCGACAGACATTCGTGCGTCACGAGCCAAAAGGGTACCCTTATTCTCACCTTTTTATTGGAAGACCTAGAGATGAAAGGCGATGACGGTCGTTTGTAGCCAAAGACGGCAGAATCAATGAACCCACCAAGCCAGTGGACACACATTTGACACGTTTTTTCCGTTGGCTCTCCCTTTGTTGCAGCGGTGGCCCAAAAAGTGGTGGCACTTTTTTTGGGCTGGTCACTGGCCAAGTGAGTTAAGATCAATCCCGAAAGGAAGGCCTAGGGTGAAGCTTTCTTTGCCCGGAGTTTCTATGTAGCGAGTGGGAAGTCTAGATGCTGTGATGCTGAGAGGCTGCTTGACAGAGCATGAAACTAAGAGGGATATTGAAGGGGGACACCCCGTGGCGCTTCCTACCAAAGTGAATGAACCTGATCTAGTTGTTTCTCGAGTTGGGGGGTCACTAAAATAGCTCGTTTCCTCGGGACGAAGCCATACAGGAAGTAAGCATAAGTATGTCAAGTACCTTTAAAGAGCAGGTGTTTGGGGTTCACTTCCCCTACATTTTCTGGGGGCTTCTAAACATTTGGCTAGTCCTCAGACCACCTAAGTGAAGGAATGAAAACAAAAGAAGACAATACGGATGGACGAAATCCATTTCGCACCAGCTGGAATGTATGAAACCCTATGAAGAATGGAACAACCTATCAACAGATGCAGGATTCCGTTCAACATGAGACGACAAGTTATACCCTCCGGGTGTGGTCACGGACCCCCCCCGTTGGTTGGTATAGGCTTGGTCATCGACCCCATGGGACGTTTGGATGGTAAGGATTTCTATTTGAAGGAACCATGGCCGCGCTCACCTCTCAGACATCGGAAGTTTGGACAACCCAAGGATTCCCACGGTGGATTCTCACGAGAACAAGGGAAATACAGTAAGTTCCCGTTTGGGTGTGTCTTTTTTTGAGGGTTCCAACATTTTTGTGTTTTTGGAGATGAAAAAGCTGCGCGCCATCTTGTGAGGTCCAACCCAAGAAAAAAAAACCATTGGTGCGCAGGGTTTACTTGCAATATTGTGGATGGTTGAAATCGAAATCCGGAAATCGCACCACAAAATGAAGCACCATGGTTGAAACCATTCTTGGTTGGTTTTTACGTTGGGGGATCGAGTCAGAAACAAGGGTTCTGAACGGTGGCGCGGTTTGTGAATTTGGCAACCATTGGCCCCCCCACTTCCCCACTTCTGGACCTTTTTGCTACTGCACTTCGGGGATTACGGTAAGTGGCCCCCCCCCCGAGGTACATGCCAACGTACCGTGGATGGACGAAATCCTGTACCGCCTGACAAACCCTGTTTTCTGATGACTCCCCTGTAAATGCCCCAGCAAACCTTATGGTTTCAACCACGGTGACTCATTTCGTGGTGCGGTTTTACGGATTTCGATTTCCGCCGTCCAGCATGGTGTGCCGGTATTGGCAGGGGAGTCCTCCTTCCATGGTGTCTTAGGTGCGGCGTATGGAGGGCGATTTCAAGCATCCGCATGGATCGAAGGGGTTCGCGGCGGCCGACTAGGCCGCCTCAGAGCTGCGGCGCTTGGTGGAGGCGATGCGGGGCCGCCAGGCTGGAGCCCTGGATCTGGCGATCGCCGGGGCCAAAACCCGGCGGAGATGTCCGGCGAAAGCGGTCTGAACGTGGCGCGGATCGGTTTTACCTGCTTCTTGTTTTTGTTTGGCTGGGAAACTCCAACTTTACAAGCCGGCAAAAGAGGGGGAACTCCAAAAAAAGAACCATTTGCAGAGAAGCGCTCACCTGTTTCAGGGTTGATTGAAAGGGCAAGCCTTGTTTGTTTTGGGAGCGACTTCCCCCAATTTTGTCCCCTTTTGCAATTCGGGGAAGTCGGCATCGGAAGCGTGAATTTTGTTGGCCCAACAGGGCAGCAGGTTGCAGGAGGCTTCTCAGGTTCCGAGAAGTTGGGACCGAGTCAGTCCCGGAAGGATTGATCCAGCCGCTTGTGGCACGGAAAAGGAAAGCATGTGAGAGAGGGTGCCTAGTAGACAAATGTCCTTAATGGACCCTACTGTGGATGGTTGAAATCGAACTCCATTTTCGCACAACGAACTGAAACCATCGTTGAGACCGGTTTTTGTTGGTATCTCCGTTGGGGAATTGTTCATCAGACACCAGCGGTTCTCGTGCCGCTGGTGCGACATTTTCGCCGCCCTCGGCAATAATTTTGGGGCATCCACCGAGGGAAATCCGGCCCAGCGCCAGGGCTCCAGTTGCCATCTCGCCGGCTCAGGAGTTGCTGGAGCGCCAGGGCGGCGAGAGCGGGGCGGCGCTGCAGGCGTGGAAACGGATGGTTTGGTTTGGTTTGGGTTGGGTTGGGGGTTGAGTTGGGTTGGTCTGACTTTGGGTTGGGTTGGGTTGGGTTTGGGTTGGGTTTGCGTGGTTGGTTTGGTTTGGTTTGGATCCCGGGCAAGTTGCAGCGACCTCGCTACATGTTCATTGGGTGCCGGGGTCAACTAACATTCTCACTCCCTGAGTTCCCGAACTTTAGACTTTTGGGCAAGCTTGGACTTTTTTGCCCATCCACTCAGGAGGTGAGCATCCGTGGGTGCGCACAAGGAGCCAAAGGTTTTTGGCTAGACCCACCCCTACTTAAGTTCACCAGCCTGGTAGAGAAGGTAACGTTGGTTGGTGCTGGAACATCTTCATAGCTGACATGAGTTGATTGGTTGAGTTGGTGGGACCTCACAACAGGAGCGACCTCGCGGAGTTCTTTCGAACATTGGTTGAATGGGTGGGACCTCAAAAAGGATTTAACGCGCGCGACAAAATCACTGGGGAACGTTCCTTGCACAGGTCTAGAACAGATTGGTTGCAGTGTTTTGTAGTTCTTTGGAATTGTTGTTTTTTTCTTCTTTGGTTATCTCTTTTCTGGCACTGGCACCCTCTTTTTGTTGTTGTTGTGCTAAGAAGGGAACTTTTAAGGGAACCGGCGGCTCAAAAAAGGTTGGACCACCCGCTGTGAGCCGTGGGGTCTTTCAGCTCTCGGGACCGACCCAGGCGCTGCGAGTTTCTGAGTCGGAGAACGGCCAGCAGTTGGAGCGGGTGCTGAAGATGTGCGGGGAGCTGTCGGACGCCAGGATAGGCGCGGGCGCTGGGCCCCCCTTTGTAGCGGGCGGCAGTTTGACCCCCTCAAATCTTCGTTTGGGGTGGTTTTCCTTTAGACTACCCTTTAGCGTGGTGACGTGGTGTTCCTTTTTGTTCACCAATTGCAAGTTGCAAGGATGTTGATTTGACTCAGTACCAACCCCGGCCTGAAACTTTGACCCGCCAGCTTCCCATGCCCCCGGCTTCCCTCCGCTTCCCTTTCCTAGGCATGAAGGTTCAATCATGGGGATGCCTTGCTCTTGGCGGGGGACAAAAGTTAATTCGGCCCCGGACAATCTGTGGTTGTGTTACTCTCAGTTTGTGAGGCAGAGAGTGCTGTCAAGGTGGCAGAGAGCGTGTGCCAGATTCCAAGCTTGACTGGGAAAGCAGGGTAAGAGTGTCGCAACCACATCCTTGTCAAGTGAGTCACAAGCAAACTGGGGTAAGTGTAGGTTTACCGGGAACCCTTTTGAATCTTCAAACGGTTTCGGGTTGAATCTTTTATATTGCACCAGGTGAGCACGGTTCAAAGCCAAACAGGCGGCGCCACAATGCCGTGTAAGTGTGTGGCGCAAGTGCACTGGCGTGGGTGATTGCTCGTGCAAGCTCGCGCAATCGGCACAAGAGTTCCTTGATTCGCGCGGTTTCCTGTCGGTTTCCCCTTAAACCACCAAACAAGGGTACAGTGGTTGGTGTATATGAATCCCAACCTGAATGTCCAGAGGGCCCCACTTAAAATTCACAGCCACAAACGCGGTTTTTGCCAAGAAAGGACACACCCTTTGGCTGTGGCTCCAAATGAACCAAAATGGCACCTGGTGAATGGAGCCAACAACGAAACCTGCGTAACCCTGGCCGTTTAATTTTGAGCCACACCCAAACAATATCGAGCTTTGCGCTGCACGAGGCATGGTGACCGAAGTGGAGAATTGCCGTGCCATCCAGAGGCCTTCCAGATGGGACTTCGGGGGCCTTTCGGTGACACAAAATCCACGCCGATTTCGGCATCAGCTCGGATGGATCAAGCCTCATGGAAATGTCGACCCCATATGAATCAACCCCAGTTGAGCATTGGGGGTGTGTCCGTGGATTTGGTGCAGAATCATCACTTTTGGAGCGGAACACCCCCTATACTGGGGTTGATTAATACGGGGTCAGCATTCCTGGGATAGCTTCTCGCTCAAACTGGACAACTCCAGGCCTCCGCCCAAAGAGGACGACAATGCCTCCCACTCAAGTCCAAAAAAGCCTCGATTTCCGTCCATTGTTGTGCACCGAATGTTTCGGGCTAACAGTTGGCCACCAAGTGGTGGATTGTGTCAATCCACAGGTTTTGTTGTTTCACTTGGCAAGCATGTAATCGGCTGACGATGCTTTCCATTGCCTTTCCAAATCTCTCTCCACCTTTTGATTCCTAGTGGTTTCCTGCCTTTCTCCTCCAAGAAGTACGTATGGAGTTTGAACACGGTGTCTACACATTGGGCGTGTCTTTTTTTCCTCAGAGTATCCCGGTTGGATTTGTTTAGGCAGCGAGATATATTTGCACATTTACACAACCCGTAGCTCAGTTGATTTGGGATTCACGTTTTTGTTGGCTGCCAACCGGAGGCTGCATCCACACTGCCCAAAGCACATGATCAAGACACCTGCTAATAAAACAATATCCACAAGAAGAACCACAGCACCCACAATGAAACACAGACCAATGCCACCCACAATTTGGCCTGCGCTTGGGCAAGTATGTTTACATGAATCCGCGCTGATTTTTTAGAGAAACGGGATACTCAGATAGCCCATCCAAGCTGTTGAATGACTCGATTCGGGCAGAGCGTGAGCTGAAACAGTGGCAGCTGATTCGGGCCGCTCCTGCAGTCTTCCGGGCCTGATTTCCCTCTTTTCGGTATCGTTTTAGTGCCGCTTGCGGGGTTATTTTCAGGTTTCCCTGAATTGGCCTTGTGGGTAAATATGGAAACCACCCAACCTAAACCATCAATCCACAACTCCAAGTGGAGGGACGCCGAATTTTGGCGCTTTCGCAGGCAACTGGAAGACGCCTTGCGGCGCGTAGATGCGCGGCTGGAGTCTGTGTCCTCTGTGGCAGCCCAGTGCTCCGGAGGCTCAGCCTTGTGGTCTGCCATTTCCTGTGTCTTTTTGTCGTTGTGGGTTTCCCTTGGCCTCACCGAAAGGGGGTGCGCTGCTCGCCTGCTCGCTCACTGGTACAGTCGTAGACATGGGAATTTGCAGGGTCTTCGTATCACAGGCCTTCCTCGCTCAGAGCCAAGCTCACGAACTACAGGAATATTGAACTTGTTGGCGATAGAAACACAGAGCACGGATGCGAACATGTTGTTTTTTCAGAAAAAATACAGCGGCAACACCACGAATCTGGCTGCCAGGAACCTTTGGGCTGGCAGTTAGCTAAGTGAGTTGGAAAAAAAGGCCAGAGTTTCGGGATCAAACAACACCTCCGGGAGAGAAGGGGAAGGGGATTCCCCTCCTCCTGTCCTCCTCGACGAAGTAGTGTAGTCATTGGGCTGGCCACTTTGGTATGGCAGATTTCGGGTCATTTCCCACAGCCAAGGCCATTGGTGACAGGTATCACGAGGCTGTCTCAGCCAAAGACAACTTTCCAACAAAGCTGAACCAGTGGCACGGACCAGTTTCCTCCTCCTTCTCCTCTCCTCCTCCTTCCCACTTGGTGTGTTTTCCGATTGGTTCTCTTCAAACCAGCCCAGGAGAGGTATCTTCAAAGCAACAAAAGCAGGCGAGTGATGTCCCTTGCATTTCCTTTCCTTTCCTTGTGAGGTTCAGGGGTAGATGACTTTCGCTTGGATGGTTGTCTTCCAAAATTGGATGGCTTTGCTTTAGTTTCTCTTGAGCCACCGTGTGGGACCACCAAGACCCTGAAGCTTTCCCATCCGAGTTCATTTGTGGGATGATATCCATTTTAGGGCCTCCTCCAAACACATCTCAACAACATCCCAACAGAGATCGTTTCCTTTCTCCCAAACCTCGTGCCTTCCACTTTTCCCTCAACCCCAACTATCCATCCAAGTCATCTTCAGCCCCTCCCGCTTGTTTTCGTCCACTTTCAGGGTACCTCCGCATTTTCCCCCGGCCAAAAACCAAAATCCGCTCGACTCCGCTTCCGACTCCGCTTCCGACTCCGCGCCTCCGAAGCCGCGAAGCCGCGAAGCCGTGCGCCAGGGCTGGTGGACGCCAAGGCCTTCGCGCAGAGTGCGGCGGAGAAGGCCTTGGCCAACTCCAAGGAGCTCTTGGAGCTCAAGGCCTCCGAGCTGAAGGCGGGGGGGGGGTTGGGGGTGGGTGCGGGGTTGCGGGGTGGGGGGTGGCGTTTTGCGGGGGTTGGGGGCTGCGGGGGATTGCTCATGCGGCCACAGGCGGCGCTGGTGGGGGGATTGCTCATGCGGCAACATAAAGTTCGGGGCCAAGGATTTTGGCTTTCTTATTACCGAGCCATGACCAAACAAGTGGACTCCCCCTTCCCCCCCCCCCCCCCCCGAATTCTGCGCGTTGCTTTTCAAATTCATGCGTGCTTCTGTCCGGTTGATATCTCATTCCTTTCCTCAACCAATATGCTTCTTTGCGCTGAACTCGTTTGAACTGTTGATTCTTTTGGGATCCACGGGCAATGTGCATGGTTCAGCAGGATACAGGGGTCATCCTGAGACCCTTTGATATTTAAATCCTTTCCTGGGCTCCATGCGTTCGCGACAAATCCAAGTTGTTGGTGATTTTGATAATCTCCCTGTCATGTGAGTCCATCTGTGCAATCCGCTAAATGTTTTTTTTACGAAAGGTACCATGCATCGCGCCAGCGCGTGACCGTGTGTGTGTGTGTGTGGGTGTGTGCGCGTTTAAACTATCTCAGGGCCCACAGTTCTTTAACCCATCTAGGGTCCTCTACCCCCTCCCTTCGATGAACATGGAAATCCAGCAACCTGCAACGGAGGAGTCTCCTGTTGGGTGAAGTTTGTTGAGGTTGTTGACGGAACTCAAGTAGCCTGCATCGGAGGAATCTCCTGTTGGGTGACCCGGTTTTGAGGGTTTGAATTCTTGCCAAGGGGCCAGTGCCAAAGCGAGGGCTCGGCGTTTTGTTTTTTTGCCAGGAGCTGGTGGAGAAGCGGGCGACGGAGGCCACGGGGAAACTCGAGGCCGGGCGTCGCGTCGTCTCATCGCGCGGGGGCGCGGCGTCGTTGGGCCCCGGCGCGCTGAGACGTGGACATCCGGGGTAAACCTACCAGCTGGCGCAGGAATTTGGCCATCAGTGTGGGTTTGCCGGTTTGCCTCAGTGGGGTCCATTGTTGGTTTCGTTTTGGAGCCCTGAGCCGGCGGAAGCGCCAAAACAGGACACGGCCTGGAGAATAGGCTTCTCTTGAAACCAGGGGCCTTTCTGCCCTCGTGCGCTGCTTGCGAAATGGCCCACTGGCTCAGCTTCAAACAAGAAGCATGTCGACCTCAGGCTCGATCCGCTGTTGACTTCTTTTCACTGGCCAGAACAGTCGCCGAGGCCGTGACATGGGAACGCAATCAAGTGTGGACCAGACTCGCCCACATGCTGTTTTGGTTGGTTGGCTCATTGCGATTTCCTGGCGGCGCCGGGCTCGTGTTTTCAGATCTTGTTGCGCTTTGCTTCTTTACGCGCAGTGCATGCGATCCTTGAACCAAGGCAATTCTTGACAAGCTTCCTCTAGTTATTGCATGTTCAATCCTAGTTTGCTTCAAGCTATTGACTTTGAACTATAGTTTGCCATTTTGTCTTTAGGAGATTTCCCAGGCTCACCAGTGAGTGGAGTGAGTGAGAGAAATTGAGACAGCCCTCCTTTCCAACCCCTTTTCCAACCTCTCGGCTTAAGGCAGGTAAGTGTTTGAGTGATGACCCGTTCCCCTTGGCTTTCTCATTTGGTTCCTTGACGAGTAGAAGGAAGCCACGGGAGTGAGTGCTCCATGTCCAAGCTGCCAGCTGCCAGCTGCTAGCTGCCAGCTGCCTTGAGAAACAAACGGCCAACCCAAACTTTCTACTTCCCTTACTGGTTTTGAAAGGTGCTGGATCCATAGTTGTAACCTCCCCCCTTTCGCTTGGTCATAAGCGTGCCCTTAAGGCGCGGGGATCGTATGACCATGAAACATGTCGAAGCAACGTTGTTCAACAATCAGCCTCCATGATTGTTGATTTGGGTGGATGTTGGATCCACAAGTGGGGTAGTCCCAACCTGAATATGTCCAGGGCGTATGTTGA